AAGCCAAAATAACAAGTTAAAGAATTGCATGGCTAATCTTTGGAATATGGTAACAGGTAGTTTGGCGACATTTTGGTAAGGCGATAAAGGTTAGTAGCTAGGACTTCAGCAGTGTACATGGATAAAGTCAAGAGTGTGCAAAATGCCATTTTTGTGCAATTCTGGGATGTTTTTAAGTGAAAATAGGTCGACGTGTACATGGATACCGTGTATGTGCAATTCTTAAAAACGTGGCAAGCAGTTTGCGATTCTGCACTTTTCCCAATTTCGCACCTAATCTTCGTCATGATTAAGCACTTTTGTTCCCATAAAAGTTCTAGCATAAGCGTAATTCGGCTAGCAGATTGTTGGGAAAAAATTTTGAGTAAAAAAAAAAAAAACATGCCTTTACTTCATGAAAACAAAATGGCGTAAAAACTAGCAGGTTGCTGTAGCAGGGTTGGTCGCTAAAAAATCGCCAACTTACCATAATCCAAAGATTAACCAATTGCACAAAATCGGTATCCATGTACCTCCAAAAATCACCAAATAGTACTTGTAAATATACTTTTACCCAAATATGTATATAAGCTCCATAAGAAAAACTAATTCATTTCAATATAAAACATTAGATATTCACTTAGCAGTTAAACAAAGGTTAAAAAGTGTCATTTACAACCAAATTTCGAAAAACTGTCAGATATATAGGCATATATTTAAATCACGTAAGTTCAACTATATATTAAGAGAGGTCTATTATGTAAACATACATAACTTTAAAAACAAACAAAAAAATTGGATATTACGGATGAGCAACAACAAAATCAATAATCCCCAAATGGAGACTACAGGACAGTAATACAAATGTTCCTTAATTTGTAATAGCAACATACATGTTCATATTTAATGACATCTAGCCATAAAAATACACTACTGGCCACTAAAACTGCAACACCTGAAAAGGATGATCTGATGAACGTCAAAATGACACGAAAGGAAGAAAAGGTTGGGATATGCAAATGATTAGTATTTGAGTGCATTTAGACAACGCAAGAGGCAAAAATGACATCTGAAGCACTGCATAAGTTGTGTAGAAGATTTCTCATTCATAATGCGCTTTATAAGGTCGGAGTTTGATCAGAATATCGTGTTATGCCCAGAATAAGAACTAATGCTTACCCGCAAGTGTTCGAATTTGATAGAGACAGAATCATTGCCTACTGAGAGTGTGAATTATCGTTCCGTGATATCGTCCATCGCAGTGTTTGACATCCAAACACAGTCATGCGAATATGGAATCAATGGGTTGCTAAGAGTCATACTGAACAGCATGCATCTCAACACCCTCCCACGACTAATGCCCGACAGGACAGACATAATGCGAGGTCAGCCCTGAAAAACCATATATATGTGGCATACCCACTATTCACTTGTATAGAGCATCAACATTTGCACAAACATGGACTATCAGCACAACGACCATTAGATCAGCTTCCCTTGACAATGCAGCATAGAGAGAAACGACTCTGGTGAGTCAAACGACAAAGCTGGACATAGGAGCGGCACAATGTCGACTTTTCAGACGAGTCTCGGTTCTGCGTGCGGACGTGTACATGTCTGGAGGCTCCGAGAAGACCGTACGTCATCTGCTTGCATTTGATGTGAGAGTTTGGGCAGCCAGTGGGTACATAACACGCACATCTTTAGTTACGATCAATGATGATTTAAATGCAGATCAGTACATTTCTGACATCTTATCTGTTCAGTGGTTGTTTCATATTTCTGAGGACTACCAAATGACACCTTCCAACAGGGTAATGCAAGACCACATGTTGCACATCGTGTTCTGACCTTCCTCGATACATCATAGGGTATTCGATTGCTGTCCTGACCTGCACAGCCCCCAGATCTGCCACCCACTGAAAGCATCTGATCATGGGTTGCAGAGACACTAGCGGGAAAGTGCCTCTGCAACCTCTTTCATGAAGTGTAGCACAGACTTGAAGCAGCATGGAATGAGTTGCCCATTTCCAAGACTCGTTCGACTCTGTGCCTAACAGGGTAAGGGCAATTTTAGCTGCCAAGGGTGGAAGCTGTTTCTACTAATTTCACACACCTGTAAACCCCAACACTGCTTAAAAATTTAATAATTTTCTCTTCATGTCATACTGCTTACATACAATAAATATCTTTTTTGTATTTGCTTTCGTTCACGGTGTTGCAATTTTAATGGCCAGCAGTGTATATATGCATCCCAGAACATCTCCATTACAGTGCTATTGCATTATGTTTTCAACAGCAGTATATTTACAGGATCTACACACACAGCAGAGCAACAAGTCATTCAATACATGACCACATCCTTTTTTTAATCTATAATTTCATAAAAAATAAAATACATTGGATAGTCTGCCTGGACTTGCATTTGGAATCAAGACTACATGAAGCACCATTCAGGCAACTACTTTTCACAACTGGATCGTGTTGTGCGTGATGCAGGATAATCATGGCAGTCAGTGGGACTTGGAATAAGGAATCATTCTTGCACTTACTTTTTCAAGCGATGGGAAAAGCTTCTGATCTAAGAGAGAATTTGATAAAGGGAAGATTGTAATGGCCCTGCATGACTGGTAGGTTGTTCACATTCTGACATTATTAGTGTTTATGCAAAGCGAATAAATGACAGTGAAACTAGCAGTTGATGCCAAGGTGTTGAATGTCCATGCATCATCAAAGAAAAAGAGCATTGGAGAATGTCCTGCTTGGTATAGCGAAATCCACACCAATGGCTCGGCTTACAGCCCAGTATAATGCAGGTCTAAGTGCAAGTGTTTCGAAACACACAGTTCAGCTGACACTGCAGACATCCCACCAAGACATGCGCAGCAGACATACCATCAAGGCTGATGCCCGAATCTGTGCAACCAATGCAATGGTATTTAGGGGCAGCAAAATGTTTAGGTTTTAGGGAAGCATTAGGCAGAAGAATTTAGGAATAGCAGAGACTGCACTGGACAGCAAAATGTCTAGCGCTGATGCTGCGTAACATGCCTCTGTTGATCAAACATCTAAGCATTAGATTGGTGTGATATAATTCTTTTGAACGGTACCTTCATTGTGGAATAGATTTTTTTTTTTTTTTTTTTACTTTTCTATTTATGTTTTCATAGCAAAGTAATTTAGTTTACATAAAAGTATTCTACTTCCAACACATGTGGATGCCACATCAATAAAACATAAATTTAGCTTAATTTAAATGTTGGTGATTTATTTATGCATCAGAAACAAAATCCTGATACTCATGTTAAGTACTTTTTTTTAAAGCATGTTACAAGTGTGGCTAGTTATTCTTGTTACTTGGTGATTTTTATCCACACTTATTACTGTCACAAAACTCACATCATATAGCTCTTTTCTTTCTTTTTTTTTTTTTTTTTTTTTTTTATCTGTAGCAACTCTTTCTTTCTTACATCATTTGACAAGTAGAGAAAATCCCTTGTGCAATAACATCTTCCAAAAATTATCAGTGTTTCTGAGAACATTAATAAAAATTGGTTTTAATCAACAGTTCTGTGAGGTGATATGAAGGCTGAAACTTCAATTGATTATCTTAAAAACAGTTAATTTTCAGTTATGAGAATAAGACACTCGTTAAAAAAAAAATTTAAGCAATAAAACTGCACTGAATAAAGAATAATTTGTGTCCTTTTCTTCTGCATAACAGTGTATTTCATTAAAGGAATTTTCTTCTGTTATAGGGAAAACAAAAAAGCAAGGGAAAAAATGTGCTTATTGCAGCCAATAATTGAGCATGCATTTAAAGATTGGCATAAACTCATCAGATGCCAATTTCAGAGTACAAATAAAATTTCCAATATTTATTCCATTTCAAAGCATTCAAAATGTATTATTTCATGTATAATATGTTAACAATTACATATTTGGTAGGAAACTGACAAACTGGTATGGTTCAGATGATTTAGTGGTAAATGGCAGAATTAAGTTCAATTATTTCAAACTCCAAAAGCTGTCTTCAATAGAATTTTCTTACTTCATGACTTCTACGTGAACATCAATTTGGTGGAACACCAAATAACTGGGCCCTAATTACCTTCTTTTTAAATACAGGATTCTGATTTCTTAACCTAGTGTTTTTAAAGTCATTGTCAACAAAGATTTCTCCACAAAAAGTTATTAAAAGAAATAAAAGTCCCATATTCAGATATGCTAACTTCAAATGAACATTCAAATTTTTGCTATCAATTTTTGATTCCTTTTTATAGTATGTAAATGCTTTACATGCATTACCATACTAGTTAAATTACGTACGTAATGAAAATTCTGATGCAAAGACAGAGGATATGATATAATTGGTGCATAAAGACATATTTGAAATCATAGATATGAAGTGTATGTATATAGACAGAGAGAGAAAGAAGGAAGTGCCCAAAATATTAAAGATAATCCCTAATAAAACATTGGTTCACTTTTAGCTTTGGTCACAGCTAATATTCTTTTGGAAATGGACCCAACAAGATGCTGATATCCCTCCTGAGGAATATTAGCATGCTGTTATATTGACGTCTAACTTAATTCAGTATTTATATTGAATCACAGTGTTTCCAAGCTTTGAAATGATCAAAGGACTGAGCTGGCCATGCACTGTGCCATTTCCCTTTTGAAAGGGAATATTTGCATCAGGGAACATCACAGCCGTAAATATGATTGGCTATGATACTGAGGTAAATTGTCATGAGAGATTCAAGAGACTGTGACATAAAAAAATATTCTCCACGCCTAATTAGATAGCTACCAATCTGAAAAATTATTATAAGGGTGTCCACGACTCCAGTGTTCAGACTTTGACATGTGAATTATTCAACCTTATTCAAGTTTTTTCAGGCTCTGAAACGCGAATTATTCAACCTGATTCATACATTTATGACAAATGTAAGATACGAACGTAAAATAAAATACGTTAAAAGAAAATCAGATCGATGAAAATTACATTCAATACTTACTAATTAAAAAAAGGGGGAAAGCTTGTTTTCACATGTTCATCAAAAATTAATTAAGAGCTGATGACATAACGCTGCATAAGCAAAATTATTCTTCCCGCACAAACATAATTAGAATTTTTCCCCTGGATATAATGATATTTAGCTACATGTCCATGCCCTACACACCATCTTTCGTCAACGGAAGTACACGATACTTCGGAATCCTAGATAACTTGGAGCAAATGCACTCCTTTCCGCATATCTTAACAAATCCCCAAGATCCGGTTATCCGAAAACTGCTGATATGAAAACGGGGAAAACTCCAAAGATAACAAATTTAAAGTAGATTTATCTGATGAAAATTTAGCTGCGCAAACGCAAATACGGTTTTTTCCGAGACATGTTTATTGGAGATTTTCAAGAACTAACCGTTCTTCTTTCTTCTAATAAACTTAGAATGAAATAATTTTACATCTAATATTCTAGAGCCTCAAATTTATTTTCAAAATCCTTAGGACAACAAATATCAGAAGGTTGCCACAGAATGTCCAACTATGAATGAAAGATAACAACAAAGGCTTAGTTCTAATAATAATGATATTTAACTATATTTTCATGGTCTGAGCACCATTTTCTTTCCTCAGCGGAAATATACGACTCTTCAAAACCGTAAATGAGAAAACGAGGAAAAGCTATAAAGAATTTAAAGAATGATTATCTGATGAAAATTTACTACTCGTTTCGCACCTTTGATTCCAAAATGCCAAGTGAAACTCCCGCTTCAGTTCAGCCAAGGCCAACTAAATATCTCAGATAGAATAATTCATTTCAATATAAAACATTACATATTCACTTATCAGGTAGACAAAAGTTAAAAAGTGTCATTTACAAGCACATTTTGAAAAACTGTCAGAATATAGGCGTATATTTAAATCACAACAAGTTCAACTAGAGGACTATTATGTGAACACACATAACTTTAAAAACAAACACAAAATGGGATATTAGGGATGAGCAACAATAAAAACAATAATCCCCAAATGGACAGGACAGTAATATAAATGTTCCTTAATTTGTAATAGCAACATACGTGGTCATATTTAATGACATCTACCAATAAAAATACACTATTGGCCACTAAAACTGCAACACCAGAAAAGGATGATCTGATGTACGTCAAAATCACACGAAAGGAAGAAAAAGTTACAATATGCAAATGATTAGTGTTTCAGTGGATTTAGACAACGCAGGAGGCAGAAAAGACATCTGAAGCACTGTATAAAAGAAAAGTTGTGTGGAGTATTTCTTATTCGTAAAGCGCTTTGTAAGGTCGGAATTTGATCAGAATATCGTGTTATGCCCAGAATAATAAGAATTAATGCTTACCAGCAAGTATTGTAATTCGATATAGACAGAATCTTTGCCTATTGAGAGTACGGTTCATCGTTTCGTGATATCGTCTGTCGCAGTGTTTGACATCCAAACACAGTCATGCGAATATGGAATCAATGTGTTGCTAAAGGTCATACTGAACGGCATGCATCTCAACACCCTCCCATGACTAACGCCAGAGAGGACAGACGTATTGTGAGGTCAGCCCTGAAAAACCATATAACCATATCACGGACCATTAGTCAGGAAATGGACATGTTTGCAGAATGCCCACTATCAACTCATACAGAACGTCAACATTTGCAGACATGTGAACTATCAGCACGGCTTCCCTTGACAATGCAGCATAGAGAGAGACAGCGACTCTGGAGTGCGGAACGACTTCTGCATGCAGTATTCTGATGGCCGTATACGTGTCTGGAGGCTCCAAGGAGATACCACGTTGCCTTCTCGCATTCGATCTCAGCTTAGGAGCCCTGCATCTGGTATGATGGCTTGGACAACCATTGTGTACACGACACGCACATTTCTAATTCAGATCGACCGTAATTTAAATGCAGATGGGTACATTTCTGACATCTTACATCCAACTGCTGTGTCCTATATTCGAGGTTTGCCAAACGCTATCTTCCTACAAGATAATGCAAGACAATAATGCATGTTGTATGTAGTGTTCTGACCTTCTTCGATACATAGGGTATTCGATTGTTGCCGTGGCCTGCACGTTCTCCAGATCTGTCACCCATTGAAAACATTTGGTCGTGGGTCGCTGTGAGACTGACTCGCCACCCCTCTCCGACTAATGCGGTTGATGAAGTGTGGCATAGTCTTGAAGCAGCATGGAATAAGTTGCCCGTTTTTGTCTTCCAAGCGCCGTTCAGCTCCGTGCCTAACTGGGATAGATCCGTTTTAGCAGCTAGGGATGGCAGTTCTTTCTACTAATTTCGCACCCCTATAAACCCCCAAACCGCTTGCAAATTTAATCATTTTGTCTTCATGCCATATTGTTTACGTACAGTAAATATCCTTTTTCATATTTGCTTTCCTTCAGAGTGTTGCAATATTAATAGCTAGCAGTGTATATAACAATTGTGGTAAATAGTGAGTAATAATACATATATTAAGCAAATAATGTAGTTGTAGAAAGCAAAGAAGACGCCTGAGTCACAGCGCTAGCATTAAAAAGATACGTTTAAAAGAATATATAAATTATGTCTTTTTGACATTTTAGATATTACAAGGTTTAAAAAAATAGTGAATGTTGTGAAATTTAATCAGTTTTTTCTTTTAATTGAAGCACATGATTAAATACACTTATCAAGTTTTGCGATTAAAGTGTAAAATAAATTATTAAACTAAGCCAAGAACATAAAATGCAATAGCGCACCTTAACAATGTTATTTAACTACAATACTACTGGTATTATTAAACAACTATGAACAACCTAAACCTAAATGAAGTAAAAAAAATAGAATTATAATCATATGAAACACTGTCAAATAGACAAACTTAATGTCGAAGACATATCATATTTAACATGAGTGTTTATTCTTTTTAATTTATACTAAACTATCATTGCCATTAGTTCCAAAATATGTTAAAAATGAGGTATACTATGTTTGCTTTGTAACACTTGCGATAAATGAGTCTGTTTTATTGAAACCAATTTAGGTATGTCGGGCTTTATCTTCATTAATTTCAGTTGCAAGTCAGGTTCAAGTTGCAATTATATCCTATATTTATTTTTGATTAACAGCATAGCTGAAAATACAGTTTTACAGAGACATAATGTGTTGAAAGGCATTAAAAACTTTATCGCTTTGTCCGTAATAGACTTATATTCATTTCTTCGTTTTAACCAAAATCGAACCACGGACCTCTGGAATACGCGCCAGTGTGCAGACCACCACACTACGAAGGCATGCCAAGAAGGCGAGAAAAATAACTTATATACTCGCCCTTTTAAAAGGCGATTGGTGTTTTAGGAAACCAATGGTCAAATACTGGGTGTAGAGAGCCATCATCCACCTTTTTAGTTCGGGCGCCACTGTACGTAAGGGCTCAAATCGGAATAGTTTCAATTATAAAAGCCTATGCGTTGCCTTCCGAAAGTGAAAGATTAGTCATGGAGGTCAATGGTTGAACGAAGGATGGATTCTAATCTATGGACACGTGAGTTATTTTCTGTAGCATAATTTTCTTGTTTTATTGATTTTATTTCGTTCATTTGAAAGCATTTCTTATGAGATAATTACGTTTCACAAAGCACGCAAAGGTATTATGTTTTCCTCTTTAATTTTTTTCCCCTTATCAGCCAAAACGGAAAGAAAATTTTGAAAAGATGAGTACTCAGTTTTCGTCCAAATATATTGGACTTGCTACTTCAAGTTTTGGAAAATGTTTCATCAGACATGTCATAGTTTTTTTCTTCTTAGTGAACAGAATTTTGGCGTATAAATTTTGCATCTTACTGAGCGAAATTTGGATAAGCTGTGATTTTCAGTAGTGTTTACAAAACACAGTGCTAACGGACATAAAAGAAATTCACAGCTTTTAAATCAGCTTGTGTTCAATTTAAAGCAGGGTTTCTTAAACTGTGGGTCGCGACCTGAAGCAAGGGGTCGTCAAAAATGTTAGCAGTTTTGATATATCTTTAACTTACTATAATAATTTTACATTTGCCTAATATTTTTACATTGTGTATCTGAAAGTAGATAAAAATAAGGCAATACAGACAAATTAAAAAACGAAAACATTTCGACGCATTCTTTTTATAATATAAACGTTCATTTTCCTTGCTTTGCACGTGACGCTATCATTTCGTCTGTTACTTATTTAAAATTTTTACATTATTCTATGTCTTAATTAAAGTTAATGACCCAAAACTGCAATAGTATTGTTACGAAATGCACAGGGGCGGTAAGATGGCTTACCCGCAAAGCAGTTTTAGGGTTGCCATAAAATGGCAAAGGAAGGCAGGGTTGCCATATTTGGCGAGAAATCGCCCATTTGGCGATATACCAGGAACGGTTGGAGACCTCTGGAACGAATTCTTACCGGTTTAGTCCAGAACGTTCCCGAACACAAGCCGAAAGCTATATAAACCCTGCTGGTCCGCAGTCAGCCAGTGTGCTTCATCGAGAGGGAGAGTGTGCATCTCTCATCGAGTGAGTGTGTCTTGTCTAGCGAGTCAATCCCTGCAGAAGCGATCGCTTTGACAGCCGGCCAACGAGTGCCGAGTGGGTCGTCGAGTCCACTGAAGGAGTCTGTTAGAGTATCGCGGTTAGTGCATCGTCGAGAGAGCGTGTTGAGCTCCGGAAACGACTGAACCGAGAGTCAGGAGCTGTGCTCTGTGTGTCGTCGAGTGCATCGCGAGTTGTAGCGTGGAGAGTCTCGAGAGTACGTGGAGTTCCGAGAACGACCAAGCAGAGTCGGAAGCTGTACTCCTGAAAGCAGAGTCGGGTGCTTTGCAGGAAGCTGTCTCCAACGTGATAGCCTGATAACCTGAAGGCTGTGTCGCTGATCGTGTCAGCGTGTTTATAGTAGATCTTCGACGACTGTAAAAGTGTTTTGGAGATGTCCTGATTAACATTGATAAATAAAGTGTATTTCGATATTTCATCAAGTGCTGTCGTCGTTATTCACTCCAAATCCACACGAACCTCGTACGAACGTAAAGTAAGAAAATAACGCAACAGTATATTACAGTACAAGTGAAAATATTGATAGTTTCACACACGCGTGTGTCGGATTTGCGCAATACTTATGCGGTCCCACAAAATTTTTGTAAATATTATGGGATCCTGGGAGTCGCGAAAAAATTTCAGTGATCAAAGAGGTCGCGACTGAAAAAGTTTAAGAAACCCTGGCTTAAATGAGAACTGATAAATCCCAAAATGATAGCAGTACCATTAAAGTATGATTAAAATCAAAGAAACAAAATAAAAATTACCACCATTAGACTCAGTAAAAGTAGATATACAACGAAAATAATTAATATAATGTGAAATAACAGTTGGATGATATAACAACAGTGGTGTAAAATAACAATTTGGGTAAATAATAACGGATATGGAATAATAATTTTACAGCGTAACATTCACCTACCTATTAGTATATTAAGAAAGAATTATACTGGATCCAGTATAGTGGGTGCTGCGTTTGGAGTTAGACTAATTAAGCTTAGAACTGGATTATGGGAAGAAACCACCGACTACTTCGAACTAGACGGTCAATCTTAGAACGCCTGCTATTGTTAGCTGGGCGAGTTCAATATATGCAGGTGAGAGGAATAGAAAGGAAAGGTTTCCAACGGAAATAATCGTGGAATGGCTTTCAGT